TGAGCCCTCTCTCTCCCCTTTTTCCCTCGTGTGCCTATCTTCTGGGACCCATGGGTGGCAGAGTAGAGCCGGGCTGGGAGAGTCCATCCCACGGCTCCTCTTACTCCTTGCCTACACCTGCTGGATCAGGGCAGTTATGGCCATTGGTGATAACGATCATGAGCACGAGGTGACAACTCCTCAGGTGGTCCTGCTGGCATGGCCTGCACGTCATGCGGTGGGCGATGTTCTAGGATGGTGCATAGTAATCACCTAGGGATGAACCCAGCCAGATGCTGTGGGGTAAAAACAGTGAGATTCTTAAAAGGGTAAAGTCCCTGTGCTGCAGTGACAGGTCATACTGACTAGGCGGCCATAAAAGGAGAGCAGCTCCGCTAGTAGGGAAGGAACACCCTGGACTCTGGGAGGTCAGAGATGTGGGGTGGGATCATTAGCGCCTTCCAGCTCTCACCTGCAGGACACCTGGCTCAGCCTGTCATCTCAGAATGCTTTGGTACCCTTGTCCCAGACTGTGACCACTGCTCTCAATCTAACTCCTGGACACTCATTACCTAGGGAGACTTTCAACTGAGGACTATCGACTAAGGAGGCAGGATGGCCTCTGCCAAAAGGACAAAACAAGATTAATTTTCTAGATACTGATATGATCTCCCTCGGCTTCATCTTATTATGGCTGATGCCCTGTGGTCTCCCTCTACTGCCAAAAACACCAAAACCAAAACCACACCTCTCTTACGTGTTTCTTCCAGACCACGGCTACCGCCCTAAATTTAACCGATTGCTGGATCTGTCATCCCCACCTCACCTGCTGATGGGACCACCTCCCGCTCCCCTGATCTCTTCCCAACCACTCCTGCACCTGAGGGGGCAGGCCTCCACCGGGGCACATGTGGAGACTGCTTAGGGAGAGACCTACCCATCTTGAAGCACCTTCTGTGTGTGGGAAGGGGGCCCAAAGGAGGAAGGGACAGGAAGCCCAGACGCCTGGGCTCCAGGCTCACCACCCCCGTGGCGCTGGGGTGCCATCAACCATCCGTGCTCGGGCTCTGCAGTGAGACTGTCTGGGTCAGGTCCCCATCCTGACCTAGCTGCTCAGTCCTCTGTTTCTCCAGGAGCAGAAAGCATTCCCCCTTCCCTAGTTTGTGATTCCTGGGGCTTTGGTTGGAGCTGAGCACACAGGGAGGGCCCGCAAATGCCTGGGAGCCCTCTTCACAGCATGAGCCCGAGCTGCACCACTGCCTGCTTTTCCCAGCTCCAGGTCTCCTCCTCCCTCCCCGGACGGCAGGGCAGCAGTGCCGCACAAGTCTTACAGACAGCAAACAGGACCCAGTCAGGGGAAGGACCTGGCCAACATCATGGAGAGACAGGCCCTGGCAGCCTGGCTCCCACCCCCAATTCTTGCCCACAGCAAGAGTGAAAATCAGAGCTCACATCTGCACGACTCTTGACAAAGCCAACAGGAGAGTCCTGACCTGGACAGGACCCTAAACTGACCCGAACCTGACCTTGACCCTCACTCCAACCTACCTCATTCTAAACTCTCATCCTCACTCTAATCCTAACCCCCAACCCTAACCTCACACTGTCCCTGACTCTGACCTTAACCCTGATCCCTAACCTTAAACTTACCCCTTCCCCAGTGCCCACGGGAGGACACTGATCCGAGTGGGCAGCCATCCCTCTGGGAGAGCTGACAGCTGAGGCCGTGTGGCCCTTGCTGAGGTCCCTGCTCAGGGAACATTTGCCTCATCTACGCAGCACTGCTAAGGGCCTCACCAGCATGCCCCCGACTGCCCCCTCGCACTCCCACCCCCTCCAGCCTTCTCTGGGCTGCAGCGGGCAAGCGGTTGCCCGGGCCGTGCACTGGTTCCCAGCACCCTCGGGGGTGATCTGAATGAACAGAGGCTTGGTCACAACTCTGGTCCCTCTAGACATCCGCCAGATCCCACTTTGGATTAGCTGTGGACTCAATCTCTCCAGCTTCCTCTTCTTCCCGCCTGGCAAGCCCAGGTAGTCTGCTGGTGCCTTTTTGGGAGGAAAGAGCCAGCCCTTCTCTCCTGAACAGGGCGGGGACCTCGTTTGCAGTGTTCCAGACCATACCCCACACAGGGAACAGGGCTGGCATCCAGGAGGCCCCTGGTGAGGCTCATTGACCAACGAGGGAGGCGACTTCATGGGTCCACTCTGTGCCCCTGTTCCCTTCAGGACACCATCTCCATCAACCACAACTGCGTCAACAGCTGTAACCCGGCCACCACGTGGCACTTCCTGCAGTGGGAGCTCAATGCCCTGCAGCAGATTGGTGCATGGAGATGCCCTGCCGGACTTACATCATCGCTGCCAGGTGTGGACGGGGCCCCGGACCAGGAGGACCAGGCCTGAGCCCCTGGCACGCAGGCGAGGTCAACGTGAGCCCCAGAGACAGTCAGAGGGCGTCTGTCTTTTCTTCCCTTTCTCCTGAAACTTTGGCATCAACTTCCTGACCACTCCCAGCCCGTCTGGCCAGGGCTCCATTTCCATTTCCCTGTGGGTCCCTGCCCGTCCTGGTCATATCTGAGGGGCTTCTGTTTGCACACATGCTGCCCTGGCCAGTCTTGAATGCAGACTCACCCTGGAGTCCAGGGCCCTTCACAGTCTGACTTTTCCTGAGTCGACCCGGTCCCACTGCTGCCGATGCAGGCCCAGGGAGAGGCAGCAAGCAGTGTGCCTGTAGAACGGAGTGGGAGCAGGCACCCACCCATTACACACCAGTAACATGATGGGGCCAGGGAAGGGGCCCTGGAGAAGGGCTGGGGAGTGGCGAGGCTCCTTCCCTGGGACACATGGGGCTTCAGATGAGCTGGGCCTGCAAGGATGGAGCAGCCTGGGACCAGCGGGACTGGAGGAGGGCATTTCTGGGGGACAGAACAACAAGGGGCAGGAGCTGGAGAACAGGGGATGGCAGCAGATCGGTCTGACTGTGGAAAGGATGTAGTGGGCACAGGGGAAGCAGGGGTCAAGAGGCTGCGTGAGAGACTGCATGCAGGGCCAGCGCTGCAGTCGGAGGGAAGTGGCTGGCCGGGCTGTGTGACTCGGACACATCTGCTCACTCAGAGGCCATTTAATCTCTCGGGCCTCTGTCATTCTCGGCCCCAAATCCAGGCCCTCCAGGGCAGGGCCAGTGTGACCCCTCACAGCAATGTCTCCCTTGGCCTCTCTCCTCTCTGCCTAGGTGACCATGAAGTCGTGTTGCGGATCGATTATGAAGAACTTTACCACTTCCTCACCATCATTGCTGAAATCCAGAAGAGATGAGGACAGAGAGGGCCTGAGCTGGCCCCATCAGGCTGCTTGTGACGTGGGCCACATCACCGAAGTGCTGAAGCCCCTGGTCGCCAACCTGACTTCTAGAGTGGACACCACTGTGCTCTCGCTGCAGCTGAAGGGGCTTCTGCAGCAGCTGGGAGAGGTCACTGCTAGGGTTCCTGTAGGTGACCTATCTCCATCAGCCTCCCCGAGGCACCCACACAGCACGTGGTTACCTGGCTCCAGGTGTCTCTTTTATAAATGAAGCTCTGACCTCAGTCATCAGTGTCCTCACTGCCTATGGTTTTGTTCTAAGGGTCTGATACAGCCCTAGGTGCCCTTGGAATCTCCTGAGGCCCCGTCCAGAGGCTCTAGTTCAGTAGGTGTGGGCAAGGCCCAGCGAGAGGGTGGGTGGAAGGGTCCTGGTGAGTCTGAACTGTGGTGAGGGTGCACTGGGGCTGAAGGGGGCAGCAGTGGGCAGGGGCCTCTGGAGTGAGGCTGCAGCATCGCACAAACCCGGGGCTGCCCTGAGGCAAGGCTGTCCTCACTTGTCAAGGGACAAGAACCAGGTAAGAACGGTTGGAGGGCAAGTTGCCACAGTCCTAGGTAAGAGTGAACGCCACAGCATCCTGGATAGCCTCACTCTTCATCAGTTCAACCCCCTTCCAGGGACCCTCATGGGGACGCCACAGGGGTTTCTGGCAGAACAAGAGCCTAAGATCTGTCATTCAGGCTGCCACATGGAGTGGAACCAGCCAGAGAAAGCTTCACCCCTGCCCCAGTGCCCCACGTCATCTCTGAAGGTCAGTGGGTGCCCCCTAGCCACCACCCCGCCGAGGCTCCCAGTGGGCATTCAGCTCTGGGCTCAGGCGTCACTGAGCTTTCTCGGAGCCTCCCTCAGCCCTTCCCTCGCGCACTGAGGTCAGCGCTTCATTTATGGAAGGCACACCTGGAGCCAAGAACAGCCACCTGACTTGCTTACATCCAGGGCACGGAGGCAGGGTGGCTACCCCCCCCCCGCATTAATCCCCCCTCTCGCCGGGCTTCGCCCCCGAGCACTTCAGAACACAGTCCCCCTGCCTACTGTCACACATCTCCTATTAGGGCAGGGGGAGCCCCTGCAGGTCACCTGGCCCAAGCCCCTCAATGTGGGGAGGAGAAACTGAGGCCCAGCAGGGATGAAACTGCCCCAAGACCCAGCTCCTGCATCTCTTGTTCCCATGCTTGAACCACTATGTAAACCAAGTCCTCCCCTCCCAAAGGCATCTGAGCTCCCATTGCCCCCCCGCCCCCTGCAGGGTCCTGAGCCAGAGGCACTGCTGTCAGGGCACAGGCCCACCTCGTGCCCCTGCTGTCCCTCCTGTACACAGGCCACAGAAGTCACAGGTGTGTAATTCCCAGGCCACTTGGGGCCAGCTGGCAATGAGGCAAGCAAGGCATGTCCCTCCCCACCCCTTTACATCAGATACACACACTGCAGGTCCGAGACCTCCAAGCTCAGCCCCTCAACTGCATACCCAATGAGGGGAAGGGCCTCAGTCAGGGTGGAGCTTTTCCTGCCTTGCAGCCCTGAGCGGCCAGCTCACCCAGGGGCACAGTCAGGGTGGAGGCATGTCTCCAGGGCACCACTCATGGGAAAAAGGCCCGACACACAGAGTGGTCACTAGCAGCTTGGAGCCTTTTGACCAGGAGTGGAGAAACAGGGCACGAGACCAACAGTGACATGAGAATTTCAGTTACAGCCCAACACACTACAGTCAGACTTCTGGGTGGCGTCCAGAAGCCAGAAGATGGATGGAAGGTCCTTTACAGACCACCTAGTCCACCATTTTATAGATGGCAACACTGAGGCCCAGAGAGCCTCGATAACTTGGGAGCAAGGCTCTGGCAAGGAGAAGCCAGGGGCTCCTTGCCCCTAGCCAGTGAGCTGCTGCAGCTCAAGGAGCTCACTCGAGACTGGCCTAGTGGCAGAGAGAGTGGCAGGGGGAGGGGGAAGGAGAAGCCACCAGCTCTGGGGCCACACCTGTCACACCTCACCCTCGTCCCAGTCAGGGCAGCAGCAGCATTTCCCTGCGAGAAACTAATTGCCCATCTCCTCCAAGAGCTGCCTCCACGGGCCCATCCTGCCCTCCGCCCCTTGGGCCACGAGGGCCAGGCTGGGCCATGCTCGCTCCCACAAGAAGTCCACGTGGCCCCTCTCAGCTCTGCAGTTGGTCCAGGAGAGGCAGAGCTACCAGGGCGCCCTGGAGTTCCAGCGGCTGGGCAAGCGGTGCAGCCTCATGTCTTCCTTCTGGATGTGCTCGTAACAGGACTGGCGGGAGAGAGGCGAGGCTGAGGTGGGCTGGCCTGCCCGCTCCCAGCCATCTGCACAAGCTCTGGGGCCCAATATCGGGGTGCGCTCACCTTCCAGGTCTGGACCACCTCCAACTCAGCCCTCAGCCAGTCTGCAAGGAAATGGGGCCCTCCCTCTCCTACTGTGCTCAGGGATGCTGCCTGGAACCCACTCAGGGCCCCGGGGACCTGGGGGCTGGGATGCACTGTGGCCCCCCACCCCCACCTGGACCCTTTTAACAAGGGCAGGAGCAGGTGCCGTGATGACCCTGCCCCTGGAGACACACATGAGCCGTGCATTTGAGCTCATCCCCACGATGTCGTCTGGGCCGGGAAGGGGTGGCCCACTTCCTGTCCCTCACCTCCAGGGCCGTGAGCAGGAAGTCATACAGGCCTCCTGTGTGGATGGGGTCCATCAGGTCACGGATCAGGTGGATCTCGGCTCCCAGGTGCTGGATTCTGGAGGACAACCACCCCACAATGAGAGGGAGACAGGGGCTGTCAGAGTACAGATGGGGAAGCTGAGGCCCGCAGAGGGCAGGGTCCCAGGATCCGACCCAGAGTCCCACAAGTGCCAGGAACAGAGTGTGGACCACACCCCAGGTGTCCAGCCACCCAGGCCAGGGCTCCTTCCTCAGCTGCTCAGTGCCTGTCCAAGAAAAGCTGCGTCCATAAACCTCAACGTTCAAAGACTTCAGAGTGTGTCTCGGTTGGGGGTGGGGCGGGGTGGGAAGGGATCCTCCTGCAGCCCACCCCCAGCCCCAAGCCCGGCTGGGGCTCACCGGGCACGCGACACCACGTAGATGAGCAGTGGCAGCAGGTCGTCCATGGGCAGCTTGTGCTCCTGGCCCAGCACCCGTGACACGGTGGCCTCAATTTCCCCGTATGTCCTCTCCAGCACCTCCAGCTTCTCCCGGGGGTCCACCGTGGTGCTGCAGCAGGGAGCTGGCTCCAGATCAAGGCCATTGGGCCCAGTCCCAACCAGGGCCCCAACACCCCTGCCTCCACCCCCACCCTCCCGAGGGCGCGGACTCACATGATCCTCTGCAGACACTCGGTAGCTGACAGGAAGCAGTTGTCCCTGACCAGGGAGCATCTCTGCAGGGAGGGACAGCAGGCTGGATTAGGCTGCAGTCCCCCTGCGCTGTCACCTCCTCCTTCCCGGGGCCGCAGCTGGCCCTGAGCCCCTTGCCGCCTACACCTTCCCTATCGCCGGCTTCAGCACAGCCCTGCCCAAGGGTTGGGTGACCCAGGGCAAGTCACAGCTCCACTGTGAGCCTCAGTTTACTCAACTGCAAAGTGGGGTAAATGGTCTCCAGGAGGTTGGGAGGATCAAAGTGGATAAAGAAGACAATCATGACAGCCAACGGTCATGGGATGCCACCTAGTTCTGAGTGCCTCTGTCAACGGCTCTCCAACCCAAGGGCTTGTTGAAACACAGATTCTGGGCCTACTCCCTGAGTCTCTGACTCAGTAGGTCCGGGGTGGGTCCAAGAATCTGCTTTTCTAACAGGTTCCCAGATGCTGCTGGTCCAGCAGGCACACGTGGAGAACCACTGCCTCGGGTGCCCCAGCCCACTTCCCCCTCACAACGATCCCACAAGGTAGTACTAATACTGCAGCAGAGGGTACTTTCACAGATGAGGAAACTGAGGCACAGAGGCCAAGTATCTTGCCCATGGCCACACGGCCAGTAAAAGGGGTGAAGGCTGTGTTTGAGTGGCTGCCCCCCTCACCCACACGGGAGGCGGAACAACACAGGAAGCCTGGCGTCTCCTGCGTCACCCCCTCTGCCCCGCCCCGGCTCCTCTGCAGCCTCTGAGCAGCAGGAGGCAGAGGGCTGCTCGGAAGCCTGAGCGAACTCTGGGTCCCCAGCTCAGGCCTGCCTCTCCCCGGGGCCCGGTAATGGGCCCACCCTCCCACCTGATTAGTCGTCAGCTTGAGGTCCTTAAGGGGCCACAGGTGCCTGCAATTAAACAAGATGGAAGGCTTTGTTGGGAGCAGGGGGCAGGGTCTGAGGTCAGAGGGCAAATTCCCTGTGCACCTTGTCCCCCGCAAGGCTGAGCGCAGCAAGTGGGTCCACAAGGGGATCCCGGAGCGCATGTGAGGAGCCCAAGGCAAGGGGAGGCTGGGAGGGATTCCAGGAGGAGGCAGCCCTTCATCTGGTCCCAAAACACGAGCGGGACTTGGACAGGGTGAGGAGACGGAGGGGCAGTGCTGCAGGCCAAGGGCCCCTCCTGAGCAAAGTCCTGGTGGTCAGGCCAGAGTGAGGGCGGAGGAGACTGTTCCGGAAGCTTGGTGAGCCAGCGCAGGCTGGGGAGCAGGAGGGACACAGTCGCCATGCAATGCAATGCAAGGCAGGGACTTGGGGAGCCTGTGGAGCAGGGAGGCCAGCGTGGAGGAAGTGGCACAAAGGCAGCAGGAGGGGTGAGGAGGAGGGACACTTGGGAAGCTGCTGGTGACCAGGCCTCTCGGTGGTGACTGTCAGATGCAGGAAACATTCACCACAATGGAAAGGGAAACTGGGTTTGGGGGGTGGGTGGGAACCCAGAGGAGACCAGGTGTGGGAGGAAAGGGAGCGTCCATGCCCTCCATTGGGCAGGGGTCACTCGTAGTATCAGTGGACCAGAAGCGGCACTGTGGAGAAAGGGTATTTCGGTGGCCAAGGATAGAAGGGAGGCCCTGAGCTGCTTCCTTTCGCCCTTCAGGATCTCCCCTCCTCTACTCTCAGTCTAAGAGTTGGAAGCAGGAGACCTTGCCCCAGCCTCAGTGGTCAATATTGAGGCAGGCCTGGCCAATATGGAGGGACAGCATTCAGGGGCAGGCTGAAGACCCAAGCCAAGCTAGTGAGGGACTTGAGGGGCCCTGCTGGAGCTGTTGGGAAGGAGACACCAGCTCCCTCTGGGGACACGAGGGAGACTGAGCTGGGAGAATATAAACCTTGAGAGCTGGTGCCATGTTACCACAAGGGGGAGACAGAGACAGACCAACAGAGAAAGAGAGAAGTTGCTTCCCTTTGCCATGCAGTTAAGCACCTAGATTCAGTCACACCTGAATCTAGCCACATCAGCATAACCCTAGAACTTCACGGGTACATGAGCCAATTAACACCCCCCCTTTTTGCTAAAGACAATTTGAAGTGCGTTTGTAGCCTTTGCTACACAACAGTCCTGGCAAACATGGCATCAGGGGAAGGCCTACTTCTGCACGTCCAGGAACTCCAGCAGCTTGGTGTCGGGGAAGAGGCTCAGGTGGGCGATGCCCTGGCTGTAGAGACCGTCCTCTCTCTCATGAAGAAGCAGGTAGAGAGTGAAGAGCTCTGAGTAGAAGCTGGGCAGCATGAGGGGCAGCACCAATCCATGCACCTGCAGGTCCCTGAGTGACAGTGACCAGGACAGGTTGGGGTCAGCAGGGTGAGTGCCTGGGGTGGGGGTGGGGATCACTATTTGGGCTGCCCCTCAGGGCATCCATAGAGCTCCTTGTCCTGCAACAGACAGTGTCCCTGCCTCCAGCCTCCTCCACTCCCTAGAAAATCCTCCCTAAGCCTGTTCTCAGTCATTCAGTCACTCAAGTGACATCTGTGGCCACCTCATGCTCTCGTTTGCCTCTGAGAGCCAATACGGCAGGTGGGGCAGGATTTGATCCCATTTGACTGACAGCAAAACCAGGGCCCCAGATGGACAAGCCCTCAGCAGCCATTCCAGGCTAGTCCAGTCTTGCCTCCTAGTTTTCTGTGCTTCCTAGGACTCCAGAGGGAAGTTCTCCCTCATGTCTCACCCCACATCCCAGGCCTCCTGCAAAGCAGTGACAGAGAGGCCTCTCTGACCAGGGTCTCTGGGCTTGGAATCTGAGGGTGAGTTGTAAGGTTTGGTCTCGGGGGTCCGGGGGAGACAGATTTAATGACCCATGTAACTCCTGCTCTGTGCGACCTCAGGCCCAGCCCCTACTGGGCCTCAGTTTCCCTATCTGTGCGCAGGGAGAAGGAGGGTGCCTGGGGCAGCTGCTCACCCTCTGCTCACCAGAGAGATGAGGTGAAGATAACACAGGTAGAACAAAGATGCATTGTGCAGGGCCCAGCCTGGGCTGCTCAAGGAACAGAGGTCATGGGTCACTCTGACCCTCAAATCGTCAATGAATAATGCTTGGTCAATAGCCTGAACCCTCAACACTTCCCCCAAGGGAGGCCCCAGGAGCAACGGTGTGAGGCCTCCCGGGACCCGAGCGTGGCTGCACAGGGGAGAGGACCCTGCAGACCCCATGGGAGCGGTCACCTCGTCTCTGCATCTTCATCTTCCTCTGGGGCCTGGCCTTTGCGCTGTAAGGCAACCCGCAGCAGACCCCTGCAAACCAACAAGAGAGGGACGGCATGGCTGCCACCTCCCACAGCACCGGAGTCACTAAAGGCCAGGGCAGGGTGCTCCACCCCCCAGAACCACGGAGCATGAGGCCTGCAGAGCCGAGCCCCCGAAATCTCAGCAGTTAGAAGCAGTTAGGAATACAGGATGTCAGCCCAGGAGTCCTGCAACACCGCAACAGAAGGAACTGCTGTGTCTAGGGCCCCTATCTGTAACGTCTGATGGGGTCACAGCTCAGCCAGGACTGGAGATGAGGTCTGAGTCCAGGGTCAGGCTCAGCTTAGAGTTCTCCTGGGGTCATGGGTCAGCCCAGGGCCTGGGGGGCTTGGACTCTGGCTGTGGTTGGGCCCTGCCATCATCTATCTTCTAATCCCTTTGCTCGCCAGCTGCACGCTGACCACTGAGGGAGAGGCACTATTTCTGCCCAGGGTGCCGGGCACAGCTGACGCCTGGAAAGGGCAGAGCCCCATCCGCCTGGGCTCACAGGGCAGTGGTTGTCCCCAGGCGCCACCGAGCTCACCTGTAGGCGGCCCAGAGTTCCCGGGCATGCTGCTTCACCTCCTCCTGGGCCAGCCCCTGCAGGTGCTTGTTAGCCCCAACGCCTGCATACGTGGCCTGGAAGGTCAGCATCAGCGTCCGGAGCAGCTTTCCCAGGGGGTGCAGTGGATTGCTCAGAGCCTGGGCAGCCATGAAGGCAACAAAGAGACGCTCAGGGGCTGGAGCACAGCGTGCCCAGACACGACTCCCGAGACTGCTCCCACTTCAGAGACGGGAACGCTGAGGCCCTCTGAGGAGCAGGGGCCCACGGGCCCGTCGCCTCTGGTCAGCACCAGAGGCGGTGAGAAGGCCGCCTCCCGGAAGGCCCCCCAGGCCCCTCACCTTCCTGAGGCACTGCTGCAGGGCCTCGCGCTCCCGGTGCTGCAGTAGCTCCTCCAGGATGTCTTCCATTCTGCACGCACTGTCCTCGGGGTGGGTCCTGGGGCACCGCGCACAGTCTCTCACCCACACCTGGGCCCAGGCCCACTCCCTCCAGGAAGCATTCCTCCCCAGCCCACTCTGAGCACCCACCCAGCCCCAACACAGGCCCTCTGGGTGCCCCCGTGGGTGCACACGCGCGCCGCGCCCTCACCTCTCGCAGCACAGGTACTCCTGGGACTTGCGCAGTGCCCGCGAGCTCTGCACGTGGAAGCCCAACAGGGCCTCCTGCAGCTCCCCAGGGCAGCCGGCGTGCACAAAGGCCCAGAAGGGGCCGTAGATGCCCTGCCAGCGGCTCTCCACGGGGAAGACGCCCAGACCCAGCTGCCTGCAATGGAGGTGGTGGGGACGAGGGGCAGATGGAGCTGTGGTCGTCAGGACCCTGTCCAGGCCATTGGAGATGGTGGGGACATCCAGCCTGGCGCCAAGTCAGGGCTCAGAGAGGGTGGGTAGATTGGGGATTCAGAGGCGGCTGACCTCCACGGCTCCAGGAGGACAAAGCAGAGGCAGACAGAGGGACAGAGAGAATCTACTCCGTGATGGAAAAGAGAGACAGGGGCACGCAGAGCCCTGGAAAGGAGACAGAAAGATCTGGAGAGCTGGAGGACAAGTCCAGAGAGGGGGGTCTTGGCCTAAGAGGGACCAGGGCCCGAAGTCCAGGATCCCCTGCCATGAGACCTCACCCACCCTCCCTCCCACCACAACCGGTTCCTTCCTGAGTTTGATCCTGTCGTGGCCAACAGGCCCAGGGGTCTGGCTGTGTATGTGCCTAGTGGACACTGCGTAAGGGGGCACTGCCCTCCCATGTCACGCTCACAGATTTTCCTACACCTGCACCCCACTGGGCTGGGTCATGCCCTTAGGGTTTGCCATCCACGCCCAGCTCCTGCTGTGAGGGAGAAGAAGCATGCAGGGACAACAGGTCAAGTAATCACCTGTACCCCCTCCCCACATCCGAAATGCTGCCTGGAACCATTAGAACCACCGCCCACACCTCAACAGACATGGCGAGAGGCACCACTCGAACTACAGTTTTCCAAGGAAGAACTCTGTCCCCACAGCGAAGAAGCCTATCGTCTTCTCAAATACCCCATGATAGTGACAGTGAGGCCACTTAGCAAGTTTCCTTCTTTACCTTGGCTGCCAGGGAACTCAGAGCCAGGTTAATGCTCCATTATAACCACTGTAGGGCCTTATCTGTACCTCTCTTTCTTTTAAGCTCAACTCACACTTTTATTTTCTATTTTATTCTTGTTTGTTTTGTTTTATAAACTGTCTTGTACCCTTCCCAGAAAAAAGGGTCTAAGCAAAGCCTACATGTAATATTTTTCTCCTACATGTACTATTTTTGCAGCATGTGGAGTTATTGCCACAAAGCCCTTGATTCCAAGAGTCTCTGACGTGAGGGTTGTGTGACCTGGGCTCTCTGAACTCTCCAAAGAGCTAAGAGGAGGTACAGAAAGCCCCTCTGATGAGGCCTGAGTCCTTGGGATGGAAACACACACAGATACACCCCCACAGACAGGCCCAGGAATGCACAGCCAGACAGCCAGGCTCTTACCTCTTGCGGGTGCTGCTCGGGTCTGGCGGGAGGGCAGCTGTGTCCAGCACACCCTGGGTGTGCAGTCCTCCCCCTGCCCCACTGCCAAAAGAGCCCTCCAGGGTGAAGCCAATGGGGAAGGTGACCTTGCCCTGGAAGCCAGGAGAGGGAGGCAGGGATGTCTGTCCACCCCTGTCTGCCCAGCTGCCCTCCCACCCAATCACGACAGGCCTCATGCTGGCCTTTCTGGGTCAGAGGCTAGGGACTGCTGGGTGCCTTCCCATCATCACTCAACCTGCCCCATCTCAAGCGGCTCATAGTCCTCCACCCCTGCAGGAGCCCCCGACCAAGAACTGTGCCCGCTGCCCAGGGGCTCATCTCTGACGGAGGAGACAGGGAGCGAGAGAAGAGACTCACAGATCAGAATGGGGGAACCACTGCTGTGGGGCAGGGGGAAATAAGTCCAGAAGTAGGCAAAGGCCTGGGCAAGGCATGGGGTGGTACCAGCCCTGGGTGGGGGGAAGCCACGGGGTGCTACCGGCCCTGGTGGAGGGAAGGCACTGAGTGCTACCGGCCCTGGCAGGGGGAAGGCATGGCGTGCTACTAGCCCTAGGGGGAGGGGAAGGGAAGGCACAGGGTGCTACCGGCCCTGGTGGGGGGAAGGCATGGGGTGCTACCGACCCTAGGGGGAGGCATGGGGTGCTACCAGCCCTAGGGGGAGGGAAAGGGAAGGCACGGGGTGCTACCGGCCCTGAGGGGGACAATTATTCACTGCATGGGGCCGTCCCATTCACAGCACTCCCGGTCTCCACTCATTAGACGCCACAGTGTCCTGCAGTCCTTACGAAACCCAAACAACCCCCACATTTCCAAAAGCTTCAGCAGAGACACACCTGCCTTCTGCTGGGTCAGCTCAGGCAGGAACATACTGCAGGACAGTGACTCCAGGGCTACCTGCCCAAGGCACAGATGCTGGTGGTGGAGGGAGGGATTCCCAACTAGGGGCCAGGAGGGGGACAGAGCCAGGAGACCACCAGCACCTTCTGCACCCAAGGCAAGCCCGCCTGTTCCCTGCTGACTCCTGCCAGGATCCAATCACAGCTCCGCAGCAGGGAGGGTGGCTGCCCCCGCCCCTGGATGTAGTGGAGATGCAAGGTGCCCTCCACTACCTTCTCCACTCATGCCCGCACCCTCAGCCCTGGGTCCAAGCAGGGAGATGACAGACTCCCGCCAAGGCCTTGGCAGGGAGTACAGCGGGGTCTCAGGGGCCCTCACCTTCCCCACAAGGGTCAGGTCCCTGGTGAAGGTGCCCTCGTACAAGGAGTCATCTTCAGAGAGGAGGATCCCTGGGCCCTAGGGAAGGAAGACAGTAGGAGAGTAGGAGCAGTGGGTTAGGAAGGGCCAGGAGACTGAGGGTGGGGAGGGGACAGTAGGAAAAGGGGAGGCGGGCACTGACCCACAGGCAAGAGTCCTGAGCCCTGTCACACCTCCCAGGACTGTGCCCAGGTGGGATGCCAGCCCTTGGCCCGCTGCGCGCTGAGCACCAGCCCCATGAACCTCATCCCTGGGTTACCCTGAACACCACCCTGGGACCTTGGCTCCTCCTCTCCAACAGCCTCTCTCAGGAAGCCCCCTGGGGGTCCCTGCCTTCTCTCTTATGGCTCAGGAAATGCTGGGCTTCTCCTGAACCATCCCCACTGCCCTGTCACTGACCCCGGGGATAGTGGAGCTGATCAGGCTCCCTTGCTGCACTGGCTGCCAGGCAGCTCAGACCCAAACGAGATACAGTTTGTGTTCTACTTATTTCTGAATCTATTTTATGTGCCTATTCCTGCCTTCTCTTTCTCCTTCAATCCTTTCCAGAACAAAGTGGAGCATAAACAAACAAACAAGCCATAATAACAGTAATAGCCATCAGGCCAGAGCCCTACTCTGTGCCAAGCACCTGGCAGGGCGGGGGTGAGGCAGAAGGCAAGTGATGGTGCGCCTGGGCTCAGGAGCAGGTTCTCTGACCTCTTGGAGCCTCACATTTGTCATTCATACACCAGGGACCATGACATGACCTGCAGGCCTGGGAGGATCCCACGAGATCATGCTGGGAGGCTCAGTCCAGAGCCAGGCATCCAGTTAGGGGTCTATAAATGCCGGCTGCAGAGGCTGCTGGCATCGTCACTACCATGTAGTCCATTCTTCCATTTCACTGAGTCTTTACAATAAGTAGTTAACCTGAATTGATGATGGGGAAATTGAGGCTAGGAGGGGCAGGGACTTGGCCAAGGCCAGGGTAGGTGGGTGCAGAACTGGATGCCAGCCCAGGTTCTGGCTCTCTCCAGCACCTAGGAACCGAGCTTCCTGCCCCACCCACCCATGACCGGCCTCAGCTCAGCTTCGGGGACCCCAGAGCAGGGAGGCTCCAGAATTCAGCCCCAGAGCAGGGAAAGGGTAGCTCAGGACACACGCAGGTCACCCCACTCACCACCATCTTGTCTGCCTGGAAGGTCCCCTGGTAGCAGACGCCTGCCTGGGTGACCATGACCCCTGGGCCATGGCGCTGGTCAGCCTGCCACATGCCAATATAGCGCTCACCCCTGAGGGAGAAGGGGGCGTGGCGAGAGTCAGATCAGAATCCTTCCCATACACCTTCTGTGTGCTCTGCTGGCACGGGGGGGTAGGCAGACAAGGAGCAATGACATTGCCTGAATCCACTCAACTCAGGCATGAGGCAGGTGAGATCAGGACCCCCCCTAAGAGGAACAGCGGATGGAGGGGGAAGGGAGCCTGTCTGGGGGAGGGCACCCTGGCAGCCTTCCTGGAGGAGGTGGTAGGAAGGACAGATGGAGTAGGGGGTACCATTCAGGCACATACAAAGCCATGGAGGCAGGAATGTATGACACATGTGGGGACGTTCAGCAGTCTAGAAGGCCAGAGGGGTGCACGGGCGGCACAGCTGGGTGAGGTCAGAGGACGAGGCAAGGCCTCGAATGCCAGGCCAAGGACCCTGGGCTTTGTCTTGCAGCCCAGAGAGCCTGGAGGGGCTGTGATCCTTGGATGGGGCAGATCAGGGGTCAGAAACTCCTCCCCAACAGAGCAAGGAGGCCAGAGTAGGGGGCTCCTGCCGTCAAAGAGGTCAGGGCTCCTGCACCCTGAGCCTCAGCAACAACCACGGGAGCGCAGAGGGAGTGAGGGACTTCACAACATGCTCGGGGGACAAACAACCCACGGACTACAGGGAGCCCGCGCCCTGAGGCAACTTGGTCCGTGAGAGTCCTCTCTGCCCCCCAATCCTGGGGGGTGGCTGCAGAGCGCTCACCTGTCGCTGTCCTCCTCAATGCCGTAGCCACTCCTCTGGCCCCTCTCCCAGTGGCCCGTGTACTTGCAGGGCTGAGGGGCCTGTGGGGTGCTCTCTAGGACCCCAAATCCATGCCGCAGGCCCGCCTGGAAGTAGCCCTTGTATACCTCATCAGTGCCATTCCTGGAGAGGGTCACCAACAGCTGGCCCTGTCAGCCCAGAGGACACGCCCATCCCTCGAGCCCACCCAGCCATCAGGCCAAGGGTCACTTACTCACAGATGCCATAGCCGCTCATGCTGCCTTCCCACCAGTGGCACTTGTAACAGTCAAACTTGTCCTCAGAGGCCCGGGGCACCAGGCGGATGCCAAAGCTGTCAGTGTGGGTGGAAAGGGACAGAAGTCAGCACGAGGGCCACTGTCTGGCCCGAGACACCCCGTCACACCCCCTCCATGCCACCCAGGAGTGTTCCTGCCTCCAAGGGCCTTCTCAGATCTCACAGGTGCTCAGCTCCCTCTCTTCTTCCCAAGGGCACACCCCCCTCCATCCTGAACCCACGCACCCTGGGCGTGCCTTCCGGTCCTAGAACGCTCCCTCTCAGACCTGCCCCCTCCTCAGGGCCTCAGTTCCCCTTTTATACAGTGAAGGGAGCTGGACCAGATGGCCTCTAAGCTCCTACTTGAGGTTTGGGAGTTTAGGATGGAGCCAGGCTGGTGACGGAGGCGGGATGAAAACCTTTGCCCAGCTCACATGACCCCCTGCATCAGCCCCAGCCTCACCCATGCTCCAGGCCCTGGCAGAAGTTCCCCACATGATTCCGCCCGTCTGGCCACTTCAGGGCTCCCCTGGAACACAGTCGAAGTCCACCAGCATCAGGCCCACCAGACCCACCCTTTAACACACCCAGGACCCCCAGCCAGCCTCTGCTACAGACTGTCTCAGAGGCCTCGATTCCCCTTGGATGGGACTCTCTGCCCCCACTCAGCCCTCTTCTCTGAGCTCTATGACCCCACAGGGGCTCTTAGCCCTTCTCTACTCCCGGCACACACACCATACCCCGCAGAGAGAGCTCTGGAAACATCCACGTTCCCTTTTTCCCCTGACTAACAGGAAGCTCAGAGCTAAACTTCAAGCTCAAGCCAAACGCTAGTCCGTGGGGCTTCTACCATCCTCCTCCCCTCCTCTGACACGGCATTGTTTTTTCTGTCTTTTTGTTCATAAGCTTCCTCAAGCCCTTTCTGGAAGTAGACAGGGTATCAGAAACTAATGGACATGCTTGCAAGCATAACCTTGACAAATCCCTTCTGCTTTCCGGGTCTTGGTTTTCCCAACTGCAGCACAGGGTGAGGCCATATGTTCTCCAAAAGCCTACCTGCCTGTGGGGTCGTGCAGACCGGCGACTGAGGCCAGGTTCACCCTATAACCTGCCCCGAGGCCTTGGGCAAGTCCTGCACCTATAAAATGGGTGATGACACTCCCCCAGAGCATTCTTGTAAGAACTGATGAAGATAAGATGTCTGCAAACCATTTCCACCCCCAACAGACAGCGCTATGTAGATATGAGAATGACGCTTCCACCCTCCGGAGAACAGGGCAACGGCAGGCCCACAGGCCAGCCAGCTGACGTCTGCCCCTGCTCTCCAGCGTCACCATCAGCAAGACTTTACTTGGCACAGACCCACTACAGGCCAGGCGCTGTCCAAGAGGACTTAAGAGAGACTCTGGGGAACAAACAGAACTGACCAACTGGCCACAGCAAGTAACAGCTTTCGGCTCCTGCCCCAAGGCAATTAGTTCATGCGGGTCCTGGCTGCCCCTCAGACCTCCAGGGGGAGCCCTGCCTGCTCGGCCCAGAGCCCCGGTCACTCACTTGCCATGGGGCCTGCCCCGGCACCACTGGCCCTCGTAGGTGGCCTGGCAGAGCCGGCCCTCAGCGCGGAAGGTGTATGCTGCGCAGCGGCAGGTTGGGGTTTCAGAGGGCTCCAGGCCTGCCCCCAGCACCGGGAAGTCCTTCTTCCCACGCAGGACCTGGCACACAGCCTCGGTAACCTTCCTCTGCCAGACCACCTGGTGGGGACAGGGGAAACACAGGACAGGTCACTGATGCTGGAGGCAGCCCCTCTAGGAAGCCTTCTGGGGCAGCTCCAGGTACCACCCCCTCCACTCCCCACCTCCCACCCCGCTCTGTCACTTGGGGAACCTCCACTTACTCCACGCTGCTCCTTAAGGCCCTGCATCCAGACCTAAGATCCTGTCTGCAGTTTCAGGGGCCCAGAGGGGCCAGACACAAGCACCAGGCAGGGATCAATACAGGCTCCAATCCCGGCTTCACAGAGAAACATACCCTGTTCTCTGGCACTCTGATGCCTGACCTCAGACTGACCCCTGACACTCTGACCATGACTCCAGAGGCCTGACACTCCCACGGAGCCTCCAGGGTTGTATACTTGTGCCCTCCCCACATCTGTCGCCCTCCCTAACTTCCCTGACCCCACTCCCTGAATTCATAGTTCACCCCCCCTCACCTTGCCCTGAGGGTCCTTGGAGCAAAAGGAGAACTCTTCCTCGGGCGTGAGGAGGTGAAACGTGCACCTAGACAGATGGAGGCGATGAGTAGGCCCCAGCTCTGTCCAGGAGGGTGTTGGAGGAGGGCCCAAGTTAGAGCCCCAGGGTGCGGGCAGTGGAGGGGTGGAAGGGGTGGAGGGAAGGAAGGTATGAGGTGTCACTGGAGGGGGTTGCTCACCCGTCCTGCCTAGGATCCACCCACACCAGCTTCAGATCAAAGGTGTGGACATTGTGGCCCTGGAAAAAGACGGGGCACAGATGTCTTCCAGAACCCAGACCAGACACTCACCTACTCCTCCGACCCGGCCTTGCCCCCAAGCACCAGCCCACTGGCACACTCCACAGTGTCTCCAGGCTGCCTGATCCAGCATGCCCAGCCGGGCGTCCCTCACCACCCCTGCCTGCTCTCCACCTCCAGGGAGCTCCTCCATCTCCCTTCCCACTCAAGGGCCTGGCCAGGAAGCCGGGGTCAGCCTCTTCCACCCCCCAAGGCCTGCTCCATCATGGCCACCAGAATGCTCTTCTGGAAATGCAGCTCAGACCCCACTGGCCCCTGCTGGGAACCTCTCTAGGGCTCCTACTTCCTGGGGGACGGAGACCTCACTGTGAGCCTAATGCCTGAGACCACACAGACCACTCCCAGCTCCCGTGCCCCATCCTCGCCCTCCCTACACCACACATCACAGCCACTCCACATTCGCACCTTCTCGAGCTTGCCCCAAACTCTCCTCCACTGGAACCTCTGCTCATGCTGCTCCTCCTACCTGGATGCCCTCCCTGCTCTGAAAGCCAGACCGAGCACCCCTGCCTCTGTGAGATTTTGTGTAGCGGCCTCCTGTCCAGCCCAGGCAGGCCGGTCACTGTCCCACTGCCTCAGGAGGAGGCACAGGCCCAAGGCTGAAGGGGAGGAGTGTGCCAGACTCAGGCCAAGGACAAGAGTGGATCCGGCAGAGACAACAGGACGTGCAAAGGTCCAGAGGTGGGAAAGGGCTTAGTGCTTTTAAGTGACAGTATCTTGTCAGCGTACGTGGAGCAGAGTGTGAAGTGGGGAGTGGAGGGGAACTCAAACTGAATCAGAACAAACCCCAAAACCAGGCTTCAGGAGACACGGGTTTGGGCAGGACAAGTAGCTTCCCTCCCGGGCCTCAGCCTCCCTGTGTGCAGGGGAGTTCCCGACTGACACTGGAAGGGGACAGAGGAGACAGTGCCGTGGCCATCACAAGTACAGGATGAGCTCAGAGGCACTCAGCACAGTCAAGTTTGCTGGCCACGTGACAATCCCAAACCCAGGCCTGGCTCCCTCCTGACTTCTGTAATGCTGAGGGCCCAGGCACAGCTTCCGTGGATTCTCTTCTCCAGAAGCCTTGCATGTGCCCTGAGTGGTTCATCCAGCCCTCCTCAGCCACCAAGGGCCACCCTTGACCTCCCATTTGGGGCTCGTCTCCTACTTGAGGAAGAGAACTAAGAGTTGTCTGGTATCTGCTGAAGGACAAACTCACTCACAATTACCCCATTTTCCAGATGAGGAAACCAAGGTGAAGACATTTAGCAGAGAGCCAGCTGGGAAGCGCTGAGGCTGGGATGCACCTCGAGTGGCCCTTCCCCACAGCCCACACTCCTTCAGGGACAGCTCCCACCTGCTGCCCCCACCCCAGCACTCTGTCTTTCTGCCCCCGTCACCTCCCCATGAGCCCAAGTTCTCACTCCCAGCTGCCTTTCTCCTTCCCACTCCTTTTCCAAACAGACCCCAGACCCCCACTGTGTCCCCAAGACCTCTGGTCAGCCCCTCCCCAACCTGCAGCAAGACGAGGGCATCATCAAAGAGCAGCACACGCTCTGCCCGCAGCGGGGTGACTGTCACAGGTACGTCCTGGCTGTCTTGCAAGAGTCGGCGAGCAGGGATGCAGAGCACATCCTGGTGGGGGGAGGCGCAAGGCTCAGGCACCACTGTCCTGGCCACTGCTGGCTGCGTCTCCTGGAGGTACCCAGGTCAGTGATAGACACTGGGGCTTCGAAGCCTGCAGCGTCATCCCAGCCACTCCCAGCAGGGCAGCACAACTTCTCCCGAAGTTTCACTTTGTCCTGCCCGGCCCCATCTCGAGCAGTAGCCCCAGCTAAACCCCCATCAAACCACATCTCACCCGGGGTTCTGCAATCCTGGCCTCTCTTTGGCAATTCTTGTCCCCTTTACCTGCTCTCCTAATTCTCTGGGCCCCAAGCCTGTCACACCCTCAGGGCACAGAGGACTTTCCCCCTGCAAAGGCAGTACATGCCACAGTGGGCAGTGACATGGGGATCCAATCATTTGACATTCCAGGAGAGAGGGTCAGTTCTGCTGACCACACTTTCCCAGAGCCAGCTCACAGCCTGGCCCAGGAGGTGCTCAGCAAATGGGTGAGGATGCTAGACAGAGGGACCTCACAGCCACCTGGTTCAGCCACCACCCCCACTTCCATACAGGGGAGCTGGGGCACAGAGAGTACAGCAAGCAGCTCGAGCCACCCAGCAGGTCCCTAGCTGACAGGAACCCCTTCCCTGACCGCCCCTCAGGCCTTAAACTCACCCTCGGCCGGCTGCTCAGGGTGTGCCAGAGGGCCTGCGTGGCCACAGCCTGGTCCAGCGCCTGCCTCATGAAGGACTGCAGGTCCCCAAAGAGGGTGGTTGTGTGCACCACCAGCTCCCGGGTGGGGTGATGCTGTGGGGGACAGAGCGGCCAGGGCAGGGGGCTTAGCAGAACCTCCCTCCACCCTGTGATGGCTGCCCCAGCCCTGGCCTGGCCCCAGCTGGTCAGCAGGCCTGGGTCTAAGCCAAAGTTTTCCCTTTTCTCTCTGCCAGCTCCTCCTCCAGGGAGAGGCCAACATGAAGGAGCTTCCAGGGGAGTCAGGACCATTCGATGACTCCCCTAGCTGGGCCTGGGCCCTGTGCCCTCACCCCCAGTACCTGATTCTACATCTGCTCTCTGGGTCTCCACTGGCTCCACCAGGGCAGAGCCATGTACCTCAGATACCCCAGGGCAAGGACATGTCCCTTCAAACCCTCCAGAACAGGGTCATGTCCCCAAGGCATGGCCGGGTCATTCTCAAACCAGGGTTCCTGAGAAAGGCGGGTCCCCTAAGCCAGGGCCCCATTTCTCCCCTCTCTCAGCTTCCTCACAGGCGACAGGCCCAGTGAGCAGCACCTGGACACCCTGCCACTCCTGCTACCTACCTCCCCGATGGTGTCGCTGAGGCTCAGCAGGAGGAACACATACTGCTGCACGTGATAGGTGAGCGGCTGGCAGAGGACCTCGACCAGTGCTGTGCCCACCGAGCCCTCGGAGCTCATGCCCCACAGGAGCTGCCGTAGTACCTTCCGCTGGACCCGCCAGTACCCGCTGAGTGGAGGGAGGGCCACACACCACCTTCACTCTCCCCTCCTCCACTCCCGCACCCACCACCATCGCCTCCCTGCCCTGGCTAAGCCCCTCAGACCCCATAACCACTCTCAGACTCCCAACCTCTCTCCTATCAGATCAACAGAGTGCCTGACACACCGTACTGGAGAGTTAGTAGCAATACCTCCGGGTTAGAACGGATCACTGATTACAACCATCCACCCCGAGGAGGAGTGCCCCTCCTTCCCCGCCCAGGGTCAATCCTGCCTAGTGGCCTCACCAGGCTTCCCTCCCTCTCTTCGGATGTGGATCAGCGTGCAACTGTGAGGGCTCAGGATGTGTCACGGGCTGTGACACTCACTGCTCTGGGGACCGGGCTTCCCCAACCCTTCCCGCCCAGACACCCCCACCCACTCAGAGGCCCATGAGGCACCCCACACTCACCTCCTCCTCTTTGCTGCCTTCTGGAAGGCCTGCACCACCATGCAGCTCGTGTAGGACTCGATGTACCTGCAGGCAGCACAGGGGACATTCTGCAGGCCCAGCGCCCAGCTCCAGACCCAAGCCCCTACTCTTTTGGGGCCCCCAGATCCCACTCGCTGAGTGACTGCAGCCCTGAGGGCCCAGACAGTGGCCTGGCTCTGGGCACTGGTGACCTCCAGTCCAGACTGACCCAACTAGACAATTCTAACTCACAAAGTCTTTCTTCCCTCGAGGCCCCAAGGCTCAGGTCTAGGATGTCTGAGCCTGCTCCAGGCTAATGCTCAAGCCCACTGAGGCCGACCCCAGCTGAGCCCTGCCCCAGGCTGAACCCAAACCTTTGCCTAAGCCCTGACCCACGTGAGCCCTAGTGCCAGGTGGTGCCCTGACGCCCAGGCCGAGCCCCAGTCCCCCTCGGCATCTTACTCCATGTAAACCTGCAGGACACGGTCAGCACCACGCAGCAGCAGCAGGGACTCCAGCCTGACGGAGTCCGGGTGGCACAGCCTCTCCTGCAGTGAGTGCAGGCTTTCCTCCGTCACCTCCCAGAGCTGCTGGGAGCTCCAGTGCAGCTGCTGCAAGAGCCGCAGGCACTCTCTGCCCTGGGGGTCCGAGGGCTCTGCAGCTGGGTTGGGAGCACAACCACACTGTGAGGGGGACGGGGACCGCTCCACCTTCCATGGAGCACACAGAGGCCCCGGGTGGTCAGCCAAGGGCCAGCAGTACCCCCCCAGCCCTGGAGCTGCAGCCAGGGTCCTGCATCCCTGGGGTCCCTGGGACAGGACTGGAAGCCCACATGCCCCCTTAAGCTCAGCAGGGAACGAGCAGGCTGGAGGGGTCAGAGTAAACAGGGGCATGTCCTTCACTAGACAGGAACAGCACTGATGACCTAGGGGCACCAAGTACACTAATTCCCCCGAGTCTGTGGGCTTCCTCAGATCCAGAATGTGGAGTGTGTAGGGTCCTGTAATCTCTGCCACTCACAGAGGACAGAGCCTCTGAGAGGAAGGCACCTGCCCAAGATCACTTCACAAGTGAGACCCATGCTGGAAGTAACACCTAGGCACCCAGCCTTCCAGGCGTGCACCGGGTGAGAGCAAGATCAGAATCCAGGCCCGTGCGCTGGGAGAGCTGGAATTTTGTCTACACACAGCCGGGTCTGGGCTAGAACAGGGTTCATGGCCTGGCCTCTCTGGGTACCTTTGAGAAAGGAGCAGTCAGCACCTAGGGGCCAGGATCCCAGGCTCATCAGAAGATGCCAACACCAAGTGTCACCACTCCCATTTGAGGATGAGAAAGCTGCAGTTCAGAGGGTCCAACAAGGTAGGACTCCTGTCCCTGGGAGGGTTCCTGTGTCCCCCACCCTCCCCACTGGAGAGCCGAGACTCACCGGTCATGAGCAGGGGCTGGAGGACAAGGCTGTTGGTGCGGGCCAGGGTGGCCGAGAAGACCTCCTCCAGCCGCAGCAGGGCCGCCTCCTCAGGGCTGCACATGGTCAGGGTGCTGGACTCAGGACCTGTGAACAGGTCACAGACTAGAGCGAGATAGCACCAGGACAGCAGGGTCAGTGCCCGTACTCTCAGGCCATGTGCCCAGAGCAAGGCCCATGACCACCCCACATCAGAATTGAGAAGTGAGCCCAAGTCTCCTCAAAGGGGTGACTGGCCACTGACCCCTGCCCCGCTCTCCACCTGGGCCCAGCTGAGGAGAGCCTGAAGAAGTGGGAGAGAGGGCTCAGACTGCCAAGGGAAGCATCCCTTCTTATCCAAAAAGGCAGATGCTCCTCAAGTCCAGTTCTGGCCTCCTCATTCCCCTGAGCAAATATCCACCATGGCTCCCAAGGGCTCAGAGTAATATCTCGTGGTGCTCTGACCTAGCCCCCTCTCCACTGAGCCTCTGCAAACAAGGATATACTGTCAGAGGAGCCCAGCCTTTTACTCAAGGCCATGGCTCAGGACTCCCTGTCACCCAATAGGGCTGTGTAAGAACGGAGGGTCTGTGGGAATGAGGAGGGGTTTCCTGCTGGAGCCATGAAGGGTGGGCAAGAAATAAAGAGGTAGAGAGGAAGACAAGGCACACAGGTGGGGGAACCATGAGAGCAATGGCTCGTGGGCATGAGGGCCCAGGCTCTGTGGGTGGCCCACCAAGAGCACCCAAGTGGCCGATGGAGGAGCCATAGAGGACCTCAGAGCAAAGGAGTGGAGGGAACCAAAGTCAGACTTAGGAGATGGACTTGGTGACAGCTGCAGAGGAGATGGTGCTGGGCAGTGAGAGGATGAGGTCAGCATGGGCGGGAGCCAGACCCTCCATGTCTCCCAACATGGCTGATGCTGCTGGATGGGTCCTTGTCAAGATGTGGGGTCCATGGGAGTGGGGAGATGGGCTTGAACCTTTGGGCTTACTGCCCTGGAGTGAGGGACCCTCCAACCAGGAAGGGATCACCTGGGAATGCATCCTCCTGACCGCAGGAAGGGGCAGCAAGGAGTCTGGGCTCACACCTACCAGGAGGCCGGGCTGCAGCCTCCAATCAGACACAGCCCTCTCCCACCAGACCTTGGTGCCCTCACCTGGCAAAGGAAGTCATCTGCCCAGATGACCTGACCAGACGTCTCCAGGTTGAGAGTTAGAGAGTCTTTTAGCCCAAGATGCTCAGACTTTGTCTTCCATGGCTTTGATGCTCTGAGGCTCTGGAGTTAGCTGACCCGGGTGGGGCGAGAGACATAAATTGAGGCAGCCGATGATGGGCAGGTGACACAGGCAGACCCAAAAGGGCAAACGAGAAGGGGTCTCAGCCCTCCCCACCCAGCCCCTAGGACACCAAACAGTATCCCAGGCCCCTGGCAAAGCCTACGACTCCCAGAGAACTGCCTCTGGGCCAGAGTGGGGCAAGTGCCTCAGATCTCTGGCCCAGGGCCCAGGCCCAGGCATTCCTGCCCCACCTTTCCTGCTGCTGCTGCTTCAGGAGGGCGAGGCCTTGGGAGGGAGAAGCAGGAAGGGGAAGCAGCCTGACGCCCAGCTACAGCCTGCAGCCTTCTTTCTCTGCCGCCCCCTGCAGCAGCCCCAGCCACACGGGGG